CACCCCCCCACAACCAATTCCACACCCCCCATCAACCAATTCCACACTCACACCATCTCCACAGACCCCACCACCAGATACCCCTAGACCAGCTGTAGCCCTAAGTTATCCTGGTCAGTTCCCCTCCTCCACTAGTTTTAGCTTATCCAAAACTCTGCAGTCATTTATCACATCAGTTCATTCAAATTATTGTTATCCAATTTACTGTAAATCCCAACGGCCTCACTTTTTCATATCTCTACAACCTTCTGCAAACATTAAATGTTTTCCAATACTCTCCATTTCTGTGACATCAAGCCCAGGTACACCTCTCCCTGTTCCCAGTTTTGTCCCACTATTGAAGATTATATTACTAGCTCCCCTTGTTGGAGATCCCATGACTTGGGCCCACCTTCTTCTAAACTGTCCCCACTCCCAGAATCTCTTCCCACCATTACTGAGTCACTACTCCTCCCCCCAGCTGTCTCCCTTCTGTATTTTGCCATCGACTGTACCATAGCCCAACTCTTGCAGTGGCTTCCGTTCTGGGTACTGAGCACTCACCATCTGCGATGTTAATGCTAGGAGACGTTGAAGCGGTGTTCTCAGTTTCTGGGCCGTCGACGATATCCTCAGTGATAGGGTGCGTGGCCGCTGTATCAAATGACATCGATGGTGATGAGTCCTCCCATTTCCCAGGCCCCGAGCAGTCCAGTTGGCCAGGCCGCTCTGTAGGAGTGGGATTGGCAGCTACCACACGGTCCACGGGCCGGCCTGGGTAGGCCGGAGGGTTCTGGTCATCTTGCTGGGTCTGCTCTGCGGGGGCCATGACCTCGGGCACAGGGTCGCTATTGGTGGAGTTGCAAACAGCCTCGTCGTAGGTGGGCAATATGACTGGAATGCCATCAACCACCACAAAATGGCGGCCACCTGAGGAGTCTTGATCGCTACCGAAGAAACAAGTCAACAAGGTCACTTTGCTAGAGGAGACGGTGAGGTGTCAGTGCTGACTTATATCACCCAGGGTTCTGTTACCGTTAAACTCAACACTTCCAATGTTTCTGGCTCACCTCTCCCCACCACCCCCTCCCCCAAACCCTTTTCCATCCTCCAGAAACTTGAGTTCATCCAAATCTTTTTGGCCAGTATCCCAACTCACACCAAATCCCTCTACCCACTGTGCTCCCTGACCTATAGTGGCTCCAAGTCTGGCAACCTTTTTAAAATTCTCATCATTGAGTTGAAATCTCTATCTCTGTAACATCGAGCAGGCCTCTCACATCTCTGGACTCCTCCAACTCTGGCCTCTTGTGTCTCCCTGATTTCCACTGATCCACCATTGGTGACCACACCTTCACCTGCCAAGGCCTGAAACTCTTCGATTCCTTCCCTACACCCTCCCCACCCTATTTACCTGTTTGTCTCTTTTTAAAATGTTCTTTAAAACCAACCTCTTTGACCAAGTCTTTTCCTCTCCTCCCTTAATAAACATGGGTTCATTCAAATTCAATTTTGCTGCTGTTTACAATTTATTCTTCATGTGAAAAGAGTTTGCAATGACACATGTCGCAGATTTATTAAGTAGAAAGTCCTTTTTATTGTATGCAATTTGAGCTACAGGAGACAACACTGAGTAAACATTGTAACATTCAGACAACAGGCAGCTACAAGAGGTTGCTCCATTTGGAGTCCCACTGCTGTGTTTGATTCTGCCTAGCAATAATGGTATAGCTTGTTGCAAGGTTTCCAGTAGGTCACTCAAAACAGATCTGGTGACAGTGAAGAGCAGTTATGAGGTCACCAATAGTTGGAGAGGGAGACAAATAGAGATGGAGGCAGGCTCCATGAGGAACACTTACACTGGAACTGTTAAACTGTTAAACCATTAACCCCTCCCACCCTGGTTATAATCTCTTCCAACCTCTTCCATTGGGCAGGAGATACAAAAGCTTAAACACACGTACCAACAGATTCAAGAACAGCTTCTTCCCCGCTGTTAGTAGACTTCTGAATGGACCTCTCAAATTTTAAATCTAATGCTGATCTTGTTCTTTGTGCACCTTCTCTGCAGCTGTAACATGGTATTCCTCGCTCTGTTCTATCACCCTAATGCACTTTGTGTGGTATGATCTGCCTGTGCTGTATGCAAAACAAAGCATTTCACTGTACCTAGGTACATGTGACAATTACAAATCAAAGCAAATCAAATCAAAAGCTGTGCTGTTGTGCAGGTGACTAGGGGCCAGTCAGGACTCAGGAGGAGGTTCTTGGAGCCAGGGGTGCATTGTTAATTGTATTGCTGGGGCTCAGTGAGAGATCCAGAGCTGTTGGATAAATCTGTGCAGTGGGAACACAGGAAGAGGTTCCAGCAGTCGGGAATTACTGCCAAACGTTTGAAGGTTCAGCAGAAGTTCTGGAGCTGTCACAGCTACGTAGAAGCCTTGTGCTATGAAGAGTTCAGGGAAGCTGAGTGAGGGTGAAGACAAAATACAGTTATTGTTTGGTATAACTAAGGCAAGATAGAGCCCAGAAAAAAAAATTCAAAGCAGTTTTAACTTGGTGAAGCAAGCTGTCTGTGAAAAGGCAGGGGGTTGTGCCTGTGAGTAAAATGTTGGACTGTGGTTTTTAAGAAGCCAGAAGAAATTGGACCCAGGAAAAGAAGGTGAACCAGCAGAACAGGAGCCCGTGTTGAGGCAGTCCATGACAGGGCTGTTTTAGAAGAAGTTTCAAGACCAGAACATTGAAAATGATTGTAATCCCTTGTGAAGTTTTAATGAGATTTAGTGACTCACAATATTTCTCACATCTGGGGGAGGGGATTGCTGAGAAATCCATGGGATCTGTCTTGATCACATTTGCTGTTTGGTGTGTTGAATGCGGTGATCAACCATAGTTTGTTTGTTACCCATATCTGCCTCATATTAATTTCAGGACGTTAGAAAGCAAATCCTATCTATCCTGGCACAGTCTAAACCATTTTTGCATGATTGTTTGGGTAGGTTTAGTGTATAATAGTTTTTTTTTGATCGAAGTAAACTGACTGGTTAACCTGGCATGCTGGATAATTGACCATATCCCTCTGGTTACATTAACCATTTGTCATGACCAGGGGAGGAGTGGGATGAGAGATAATTTGATGTAATCTCAGTCATAACAACATAACTGTTAAACAGATCTGTAACAGCAGTTTAACAGTACTCACATGAAAAATGCCAATGTCTCAAATATGCTGTTTTGGGAGTTTGGCATCCAGGCTTCAGACTCATTGAAACAGAGGGGCTCAGGATTCTCACAGAGTCAGAAAGACTCTATAGAACTTTTAAAATGAATAGTGAGGTACAAAGGTGTCACCCTATTTCCAGTAGGTCTAATTTTGGAAAGCTTCAGCCTTATCTTTTACACTAATGTGTTGGGCCCTTCCATCATTGAGGATGGGGATATTTGAGGAGCCTCCTCCAGTGAGTTGTTTAATTGTCCACCACCATTCAAACTGGATGTGGCAGGTCTGCGGAGCTTAGATCTGATCCGTTGTTTGTGGGATCGCTTAGCTTTGTCTATCATTTCCTGCTTTCGCTGTTTGGTGTGCAAATAGTCCTGTTTGGTGGCTTCACCAGGTTGATACCTCATCTTCAAGTCTGTCTGGTGTTGCTCCTGGCATGCCCTACTGCACTCTCCATTGAACCAGGGTTGATCCCCTGGCTTGATGGTAATGGTTGAGTGGGGGATATGCCGGGCCATGAGGTTACAGATTGAGCTGGAGTACAATTCTGCTGCTGTTGATGGCCCACAGCGTCTCATGGATGCCCAGTCTTCAGTTGCTAGATCTGTGCGAAGTCTGTCCCATTTAGCACGGTGATAGTGCCACACAACATGATGGAGGTTGTTCTCAATGTGAAGCCGGGCTTCGTCTCCACAAGGACTGTGCAGGATTCATTTCTTACCAATAAAGTCATGGACAGATACATCTGTGAAGGATAGACTGGTGAGGATGAGATGCCGTAGCCGTTTTACCACTGATTGGTTCCCACACCACCTGCTGCAGGCCCAGTCTTGCACCTATATCCTTTAGGACTTGACCAGCTCACTCTGTGTTGCTGCAGCTGAGCCACTCTCGGTGGTGGATATTAAAATCCCCCACCCAGAGTACATTTTGTGCCCTTGTCACCCTCAATGTTTCATCCAAGTGTTGTTCAACATGGAGGAGTACCGATTCGTTGGCTGAGGGAGGATGATACATGACAATCAGCAGTAGGTTTCCTTGCCCATGTTTAACCTGAAGCCATGAGAATTCATGGGGTCCGGAGTTGATGCTGAGAATGCCCAGAGCAACTCCCACCCGACTGTATACCACTGTCGCCCCCTCTGCTGGGTCTGTCCTGCCAATGTGGCAGTTTTCCAATTTTGGCACAAGTCTCCAAGAGTTATTAAGGAGGACTTCACTGCTCTTGACACTGTTGTTTCCATCGCCTTGCTTGATGCCACATGGTTCATCCAGCTTCAATCCTTCTTGACATTTTTGTAGCTGTCTAATACAACTGAGTTGATGGCTGGGCCATTTCAGAGGGACAGTGAAGAGGTAGCCACATTGTTGTGGGTCTAGAGTCACCTATTGGCCAGACTGAGGAAGGACATCAATTTATTTTCCTAAAATCGTCTTTACAAACAATGGGGTGATCATTTCATGCTCATCATTAGATTTCAATTACATTTATTGGAATTTAAACCAGAACTGGGATTGAACCTATGTCTTCCAAAGCTAATCCAGTCACATTACCATCCCTAAGGCCTTGCTACTGCTTTCCCTACTGTTAGAGACCACATGGTTAAGAGTGATTGTTATGCAATACAATTTCAATAAGTAATGGTTAAGAGCAATGAATAATCTAAAGTAGAGCAGGTAAATTGGGACAAGATGAATCCCACTGGAATGGGACGGAATCCTGCCAGGATAAAATTCAAGTAAAATGTCACAGGAAAGTCCATATGAGGACACTGGGTAATCACTGACTCTGATAGGATATAGGTACATTGCAGTAGGGATGAAAGGTATGGAACAAAAACCAGGACTCCTTGGATATGAGGGAGTTAGAGAACGTACTGACACCAAAAAGTAAAGTGAATTCTTCAAAGGAGATCCAGGCCAAATCCATTAAGTTGAGGGGGAAGTGAAAAGGGAAATAAGAGTGGCAAAAGAAAAATAGAAAAACAGAAATGGCAGTCAACATAAAAGTGTTCCCAAAAATCTTCTCCCAGTACATGAGTAATGATCAGGTGTGAGGTGGGAAGGTACAATTAGAGACAGACAGGTTCACTGAAGAGCTTAGAGATGCTGGGCAATGATGGAATAATTAATGAGTGCTAACTATCACAGCCTGTATGTGTGGGAGGGACAGAAATCTTTATAACATTTACATTTAGATGTGCACTTGCATTGCCAAGGCATTCGGAGCTATGGGGCAAGTGCTGAAAAATGGGGTTAGAATAATGAGGTGGCACGGACACAAAGGGCTGAAGGGTCTTTTTCTGGAGACGTCCCTGACTTTAGGAGTATCAGGAGTTTAGTAAGGAATAGGATGCTGAGAAATATCTGTTGACGTGGAGAAGGCAGGGATAATGGATGAGGTGAAAATGACAAGACAGCATGTACTAGAAAAACAGCCTGGCCATCGAGTGGCTATAAAGCCTGGTCTGAGTCACTTTCATCTCAAGTTGCCCAAGGAAGAGGGAGTCAAAGGGCTTGGCTTTAGCTTTTTAATTTTTTTGAGATAACGCAGATTGGGCAGTGGTAAATGTGATACCCTTATTCATCCTGGCAGGAAGATTACAGACTGCAGAGATCGAAAAGGGTCAGTGCTGAGACCAGTGGGGTTTTCCGATGATGGGGACATGGCTTGAATATTGAAATTTCAAAACATGCTGCAGACAGCGACCTGGGAGGTGCGGTATACTGTGACGACACCAAACAACTGCAACAGGGCGTAGGTTAGCAGAGTAGGCGGGTGGAATTTACGATCGAGAGGTGTTGCAGTTTTTACAGAAGGGACAGGGAATGGTAATATTGATTAAATGCCACAGTGAAAACCAGCCAGGGGTCCGTGAGCATAGATTATAGTCTCCTCACGTTCGGAAGGAGATGAGGGTCCTTGACAGGGTGGAGGTTTCCCAGAAGAAGTTAGTTTGGAGAAGCTAAATTTGTTTTCCCTGGAGAAAAGAAGTGTGCAAGATTACAGGGCCCTACACGGGACATGGAAGAAGGGATAATTAATCATTTCAAAAGGAAATTGGATGGGCATTTGAGGGACATAAACTTACAAAGCTACAGAAATAATGGGCTAATGGGGCTGAATGGTTTGCTACACACAGAATTGGGCTTCTTCTACACTATAATGTTTTGTTTTCAATGTGCACTGTTCTAGAGCAATCTGCTCCCTCTGAAAAGGACTTTGTTGTTGCAAATCTTTTCAAAGTGAATGTTGAGGCATGTTTGGGACCTGTTTGTAGACAGGTTTCCTCTGAAACAGCTTCCGGGCTGCCCTCTCTGTTATTAAATGATTACAGAGGGCCATTTGTATGTGTTAATGCTCTCCACCTCAGTGTGAGGCATTGTCCTGCCTTTTCCCTGTCATCCTGCAATTTTCATTCACCTCAGAGTCTATTCCAGTTTAGTTTTGAACACTGTGATTGAACTTGTCTCTACAACATTTGCAGTGCATTCCTCATCTTAACCAGTCACTCATCACCTTCCATTATGTTACCTTGGACTCTTTGTTATTTATCCTTTACATTAATGACGTCTGGTCCTTGAACCTTCCACCAGTGGGGACAGGCTCTTCTCAATATCTATTCTGTGCAGATCCCTCATGATCCCAAACCCCTCTATTGAATCACCTGTCAACCTTCTCTTCTCTAATTCCAACCCCTATCCAATTTATCCTCAAAATGTAGTCCCACATCCTTGGGCCATTTGTGTCCATCTTTTATGCACCCTCTTTATGGAGTCCAGTGGATTTGCTGCATATTTTATGTAAGACAGTGTGAATGTAGCTTGAGTCTAGGAGCTTCATCCCTGCTGAGGCCTGAACTAAGCTCGATGTTGCTACAGACTGTTTGCAGAGCTCCATTCCCCAGTACAATGTCTAATGCCCCCCAAACTGTAGCCAAGTTAAACAAAATGGTGCCAATTTCTGCTTACCCAGACTGGCATGGTGACTTCAGCTTGATGTGAAAGGCTTTGACAAAGACCACAAGGAGTAGGGCCAGAAGGACACTGATGGCTGTGAAAGCCACAATCTTCCAGGTGGATATGACAGCTTCCTCAGAGTCTGACCAGGCTTGATCTGCAAGAGAGAGACTGAGTGGTAAGTGACTGCGAAAATGACCGGGTGTTAAATCAGCAGAACCAAACGTGCTGGGAGAAAGGCAAATCAGTGTGAAATTGGCCAGATGCTCACTGGCAGATCCGCTCAGTACTTCACTCAGCAGGACAAACAGGGGTAATGTTACTAGATTACCAATCCAGGTCAATATCCCACAAGCATGGGTTCAAATTCCACACTGGCAAACTGTGAAATTTGAATTCATTAAAATTAAGCATTAAAAGCATCCTCATGGTGACCACTGTCAATTATCATCAAAACCTATCTAGTTCACTGATGTCCTTTAGGGAAGGAAGCTTTTTTTAAATTCTCTGGTAGGATTGGCTGGCCTGTATTGTTAATCAGTCCCTGGCATCTGCTGTTTTTATCTTCTCTGACCTACACCTGTCAAAGGAATTTTTGAAAAAGCTGCCATAAGGTGCTGGAAGACTGGATGTGGTTGGCCAACGTGGTGCCATTATTTAGGAAAGGTGGTAAGGAAAAGCCAGGACTTATACATTTAATGGTAAGGTGCTGGGGAGTGTTGCCAAACAGAGAGACCTAGGGGGGTGCAGGTTCGTAGTTCCTTGAAAGTGGAGTCACAGGTTGATAGGATACAGAAGAAGGCATTTGATATGCTTGCCTTTATTGGTCAGTGCATTGAATATAGGAGTTGGGAGGTCGTGTTGTGGCTGTACAGGACATTGGTTAGGGCCACTTTTGGAATACTGTGTTCAATTCTGGTCTCAAGTTGTGAAACTTGAAACAGTTCAGAAAAGATTTACAAGGAATGTTAGAACATAAGAACCAGGAGCAGGAGTAGGCCATCTGGCCCGTTGACCCTGCTCCGCCATTTAATAAGATCATGGCTGATCTTTCTGTGGACTCAGCTCCACTTACCAGCCTGCTCACCATAACCTTTAATTCCATTACTGTACAAAACTTATCTATCTTTGCCTTAAAAACATTCAATGAGGAAGCCTTAACAGCTTCACTGGGCAGGGGATTCCACAGATTCATAACCCTTTGGATGAAGAAGTTTCTCCTCACCTCAGTCCTAAATCTGCTCCCCCTTATTTTGAGGCTATGCCCCCTAGTTCTAGTTTCGCTTGCCAGTGGAAACAATCTCCCTGCTTCTACCTTATCTATTCACTTCATAATTTTATATGTTTCTGTAAGATTCCCCCCTCATTCTTCTGAATTCCAATGAGTATTTTCCCAGTCTACTCAATCTCTCCTCATAAGCCAACCCTCTCAACTCTGGAACCAACGTAGTGAATCTCCTCTGTAACACCACCCCGGCCCCCCCACCCACCCCTCAGTGCCTGTATGTCCTTTCTCAAGTAAGGAGACCAAAACTGTACACAGTACTCCAGGTGTGGCCTCACCACGTCCCTATACAGCTGCAGCATAGCCTCTCGGTTTTTAAACTCCATCCCTCGAGCAATGGCAGACAAAATTCCATTTGCCTTTTTAATCACCTGCTGTACCTGCAATCCCACCTTCAGCGATTCATGCACGTGGACACCCAAGTCCCTCTGCACAGCAGCATGCTGCAATTTTTCACCATTTAAATAATAGTCTTTTTTACTGTTATTCCTACCAAAATGGATGACTTCACATTTATCAACATTGTACTCCATCTGCCAGACCTTCACTCACTCACTCAAACTATCTATATCCCTCTGCAAGCTTTCAGAGTCCTCTGCACACTTTGCTCTACCACTCATCTTAGTGTCATCCGCAAACTTTGACACACTACACATGGTCCCCGACTCCAAGTCATCTACGTTGCCAGGGTTGGAGGGTTTGATCTATAGGGAGAACCTGAATAGGCTGGGGCTTTTTTCCCTGGAGTGTCGGAGACTGAGGGGTGACCTTATAGAGGTTTATAAAATCATGAGGGGCATGGATAGGGTGAATAGCCAAGGTCTTTTCCCCAGTACAGGGGAGTTCAAAACTAGAGGGTATAAGTCTAAGGTGAGAGGGGAAAGATTTAAAAGGGACTGAAGGGGCAACTTTTTCACACAGATGGAATGAGCTGCCAGAGGAAGTGGCGGAGGCTGGTACAATTATAACATTTAAAAGGCATCTGGAAGGGTATTTGAATAGCAAGGGTTTAGAGGGAAATGGGCCAAATACTGGCAAATGGGACTTGATTAATTTAGGATATCTGGTCGGCATGGACAGGTTGGACCGAAGGGTCTGTTTTTGTGCTTTACAGCTCTATGACTCTATGATGGAACATGTTATCCCATTTCCCTTGTTTACTAGTACAGTGTATTATACAATACCTTGTCCCATTGGTCATTGCTCACTCCCTGAGCATCATCTGAACAGGAGTATCCCCTCCCATACAGTACCACATAACGGGGATGGGGCTCACATGGTGCAATGTTAATGTCCCTACCTCTGGTTCAAGCCTCACCTTATCCTGAGGTGTCTGATCAGGTTGATAAGAAATTACCTATCACACTAAGCGAGCGCTGTAAATGAGATCCGACTGAAACATGCAATGTCCTGAGGGTACAGGGTGGATATGGGAAGGCCGCACCCTGTCGTGGAACAAGACGTAACAAGGTGTAGAGCTGGATGAACACAGCAGGCCAAGCAGCATCAGAGCAGCAGGAAAGCTGACGTTTTGGGCCTAGACCCTTCTTCAGAAATGGGGGAGGGGAAGGGGGTTCTGAAATAAATAGGGAGAGAGGGGGAGGCGGATAGAAGATGGATAGAGGAGAAGATAGGTGGAGAGGAGACAGACAGGTCAAAGAGGCAGGCATGGAGCCAGTAAAGGCGAGTGTAGATGGGGAGGTAGTGAGGAGATAGGTCAGTCCAGGGAGGACGGACAGGTCAAGGGGGCGGGATGAGGTTAGTAGGTAGGAGATGGGGGT